GAACATTTGAAATTTAGAACAGGCATAGTCTGCCAATCTGCTTTTTTCTTTTACCATATTTCCTTTGACCAGATTTTGAGATTATCAGAAAAGAAAATGTATTCTAGAAAGTACCATAAACTCCTTAAGAAATTGCATATTGAAGCTGAAATTTCCTGTGCCACCAGAATCTTCTGGCTGGCACAGAATCATCACATTGGCTGTAAAACCAGCTCTCTCTTACTGGGCTTCCCACAAGCTGCAATGTCCAGTGTGCTGGGCTCTTGGCTGTCGCTCTCTTAGAGCAGGACTGGGAGTCTCCTCATCCCTTTCCAGGACCCTGCTGTGTCCCCACTGGAAACACTTTCTCAGTTCTTCTGAATTAGACACTCAAGGTGTGGCGATGCAAAAGAAAGGAAAACAAAGAATTCCTTCCAGAAAATGCCTTCATTTCCATGATCCTTCTTTTTGCTCTTAGTCACTTGCAGTATCTTCCTCCCTGTGATTCCTATTGAACCAGAAATTCTTTTCATTCTTACCCCCATTTTATTTCCTGACTGGTTTGATCAGAATCAGCTCCTAGGGATGGCAATTATGATTCAAAACCCTCGATTTGTTCCTCATATCCAAATAAATCTGTGATGCAAGCACATTTATCCCTAACTTTTCACATGTATTTTGTTTTTCAAGATTAAGGGAAGCACTCTAGTTACAGAACACATAAGTTTGACCCTAAAAACTTCTATTCTTTTATAATTCTACACTAATTTCCCATCAGTTAATGTCCATAATCTAAATGATCGCATAGGTAGTTAAACATATCCAGAATTTTGAGAGAAAGTGGATAAAATAGCCATTTAAAAAAAATTTTTTTAAGATTTATTTATGCAGACAAAACTGGAGTACAGGCCAGAGGTGCAGGGGGGTTGAGAGGATTCACCAGAGACAGACTGGGGAGCAGAACAGGCAGATTGACGAAGTACAATGCTGAAGGGAGCAGTGGGCAGGTCAGGAGAGGTCTGCTGCACCATCTGGGTCACCTCCAGGGTGGGGATCGAACTCATGTGGAAGTGGCTTTAGCTTCTTAGTGCTGTGCTTTAACCCACTGTGCCACAGGGGAGGGCCCAAAATAACTTTTTTTTTTAATTCAAGTTTTATATTCCAGAGCTCCTCAGAGTCCACATGAGAGTTAAGATTTGGTTAAGAATAGTTCTCTTACAGGGCAAAGAAAGGAGTACCGTAAAACCCCCAGGCCTGCCAGCTCTAAATAGATTCTGCCATCCACTGCAAATAAACAAAACATACTCTAGTGCATAAGATCTTCAATGGAGGGTTACAGTGAAGAACTATGCAGTTGTCCACAGCCACTGCAGCATGAGTTTGATCCCTGCCCAGGGAGAGGACCCACAGGGTTTCTCTCCTGTCTCGCCCACTGATCCCCTCAGCAGTGCATTTCAGTCAATCTGTCTCTTCTCTTCCCTATTCTGTCTCTGGTGAATCTTCTTCCCCCCCACACACACACCTCTGGCCTGTGCCGCAATTTTTGTGAGCATAAATAAATAGATGATTTTTTTAAAATGTTTAATGGAAAGGAACTTTAATACAATCAGTATGCAATAAAGACAAGACATAGAATATAGTTTCCAAATCAAACACCTGAAGTTACCCATCCCCTTGTATATAAATGCCCAGCCAAACAAGGTTAGCTCAAAGCAGGCCACTGAAGCCTGAATGCCTGCCACAGGTCTAAACCATCTTCTGGTGGGGAGCCACAGAAAAGGGTCAGAAACAGCCAGACAAGTCTACAAGGAAAAGAGCAAAATCCAAATCAAGGTAAAAGCTGCCACTGTTAACCTCTCCACGGGTCTGTCACCCACGGCTGTTTCAACCAGTTAGGGCTAAAAGTAAGTGCAAGTTTTTCACATCTCTCTGCTCCATGTGCCTCCTCCTTACTTCATATCTTTCCTTTCTACCTTCTCCATACTCCTCTCCCAGCTCAGCTTTACCCTCCCCTGGGTGGGGCAGGACACCTGGAACCTCCCCTTTTCCTGGGGACCACCTGTTACAGTTCCTTGGTCCTTTCCTGGGAGGTTCCCCCTAGTCCCTTTCCCTAGGCCATGCTTCTTCTGTGTCCACTGCCTTCTTAAGCTACCCTCCTTCTCCTTGGACCTCTTCTCTCTTCAGCTTCTCCCTCTGGACTCCTTAGCCTCTGTTCCCCATTCACTGCCTGTAACCAGGTCCTGTTCTTCTGTTGTCTCATGCTGGTGCTTAGCTCCACCTCTTGCAATGTTTTTTCAACAGTGTTGCATCTGGGGCTGAAGGGAGGTGGGACACAGAGGGGAGGTCCCCCAATGTAGGATGATATGCCACAATCTAAACCAATGAACTTGTGCAGTTATGCAGAAAAAGCATTTTTGTCTTTCCATAACAACCTCTATACACTATGGTTCAGGAAAGGAAAGGAGGAAGGACACTAGCCAACCCAAAAAAGCTAGAAGGTTCTAGTACCTAGAATATATGAAAAGAAAATTCTCCTCCAGAAAACCCTGATCTGTCCTGTTCCTGACTTTAATGAAGACATGTTTTATGCTCTTACTTAAGTTTACTGCATTGCAAAAATTGAAATTGCTTGCAAATTCAAGCTCCATAAGCTTAGATGGGGAAAAAAAAGTAAATTGTAGGTCTATAAGACACACAAATTATTACAGCAAGTAATTTGTTTTTCCGGCTATGTTTATTCCACAAAATAACATAAAATGGGAAATTTCTATTTTCCTTCTGAAATAGCCATGTTAGCTGGGTAAAGAGCATCAGATTTACCAGGTACAGCAGAGTTCAATTCACAAGTCTTTGGAACTGTACCTGGATGTGGTAACAAGTGTGGGTGGGCCCTGGGAGACTACTCTGGGATGGTTATAGGACAGTAGCAGGGAACAAAAGAACAACACATATCCAAAACAGGGCTCTTGAAAGCATTCTAGAAGCTTAAACTAAGTAAAGGGAAACAGGAATAAAAGAGCAGAGTTAATGGAATGCATTGAAGAGTTGCTGCTGGAGAGGCAGAAATGTGCCCCAACGCGAAGTAATCACCCCTTCCCCCCACCCCCATCCACAGTAGTGTTTTAAAAGCTTATTATTCCCTCTGAGAGGAAAATCACTTGCCTCTTCTACCTTCTGACACTGAAATGTAAATTTCTCCCTAACAGAGGTATGGCTGTTACACAGCACCACCCCAACAACTGGGGGTGTGAGGAGACCCGACTTATTGTCCCCACCACTCTTACAAAGCAAGTTCTGCACAGACAGACATGTTCCTTTTAAGAGTCAGCAGTCATATGATTTACTGTGCACATGGGGAGTATTGGGAAAGTATTTTTATCCTTTCTAGAAAAGTTGTGAATGGATCTTATTTAGATCTCCAAAAGATTGGCCTTTGAGCATCTAAAAGTGGAAATTTGAGTTTAAAGCATGAAAGCTGGGTTTTGGTTTGTCCTATCCACGTTGATTTGAGCAAGTGAAAAATATGGCACAATCTTATTTTAAATATGTGGACTCTGCCTTTTGTAAATAAATGGCCAGGCAGCCTATTAATCATTTGGATTCACGGTCATAAAGGTGACAGAAACTGAACATTTGTTGACACCTGGCAGGTACGGGGCTGGTAACATGGAGATGGAAACAGGAATATTGACTCAGATCAAGACCTCGAGAATGTCCAGAGGGGAGGGCCACGAGAGCTTAGAAATAACTGCTAGAGAGGCACTTTTGATCGGCTGCTCAAAGAGACAAAGAGGAGTATGATAATTGACTTATTGACAGCCACTCCAGACTTTACCACAAATTACTTGACCTAATCCTTAATTTCTTGATGTTTGCTTTTCCTTTATTAATGAAAGGGTTGGGTCAGATTAGATCAGTAACAGGATCATGTTCATTCCTTTGGAGGCACTCAATTCTAAAACATCACTATTGTGAATAACAAGGAAGATGATTGTGTAAATGCAAAACAAAATTATACCCAGACCATCAAATACAAATTTTTACACATACTCTACCAAAAGGAGTTACATTCTAAAATTCTTCTGTAAAGTCCTGGGTAAAGTCATCAAAATGCAACATTCTTATTTCATTGGTGACTCATAAGCCAACACCCTAATACATATTTAGGTCATTAAACCCCGCCTGTACTAAGTCAAGCTAAGCTACTGGAATAATGAAAGGTGGGACTTTGGCCCTACTTAACTTCAGTAGAAATACTTAACTTTGCTGTTTATTTATTCTGATTGTACATTACATTACACTGAGGGCAAGGGGGACTGGTAATTAAAAACCCCTGGATAAGGTCATCTCTAAAGCCTCCTCCAGCTCAAAAAGACTTGTATTCTTTGATTCTCAGTGTCAATATTACTTTTCCCCTCGCCCTCTCTCTACCTGCAACCCTTCATTTCCCACTGGTAGTGTTACAGGGCAACCCCAATGTGAAATGGGTGGCCTGACTATGGGGCTCACCTGCACACTTTAAAGGGATTTATTATAAGACTCAACTGCAGGTACATACAAAAAGGTTAACGAAGGATTTATGTACCCAAAAAACAGGGATCTGAAGAAAGGAATAAGTGAGAAAAGGAGAGATAAATTGGTGAATGTGTCCTACCAGTTCTACTGAGCAGGGACCCCAATAGCATTCTGAAAATGGGAGATAAATCAAGGACCCCCATGGCCCACTTGTCTGATTATACACCAATTCTGGCTAATTAACTCTATCCTCAGTTCCCAGCAATCCTCCATTAGGTGGTGATGACATTAGGGGATTTGTAGACCTTGGTGTCTTGGATCCTTTTGGTCTGGGCTGGGAGTGGGGGTCATGAAACCTATCTGTGGATTTTTTTCAGAACACCTTTTCCTCCTAACAGTAGGACGTGGATGTGCCAGGGTCTGGGCACAATCTGGATTTCCTCTGTCCCTAAAATTTAAGCCTTCAGCAGAGAAGTGACCCTGCTTCTCCTCTCTCCCTCAAACAGGGTGGAGAACATGTCCATGCGGCTGGAGGAAGTCAACGAGCGAGAACACTGCATGAAGGCTTCACTCCAGACTGTGGACATCCGACTGGCACAGCTGGAGGATCTCATCGGGCGCATGGCCACAGCCCTGGAACGCCTGACAGGTCTGGAGCGGGCCGAGTCCAACAAAATCCGCTCACGGACCTCCTCAGACTGCACAGATGCAGCCTACATCGTCCGCCAGAGCAGTTTCAACAGCCAGGAGGGGAACACCTTCAAGCTCCAAGAGAGTATAGACCCTGCAGGTGAGGAGACCATGTCCCCAACTTCTCCAACCCTAGTGCCCCGTATGCGAAGCCATTCATTCTATTCAGTCAATATGAAAGACAAAGGTGGTATAGAAAAGTTGGAAAGTCTTTTTAAAGAAAGGTCCCTGAGCCTACACCGGGCTACTAGTTCCCACTCTGTAGCAAAAGAATCCAAAGCTCCTGCAGCCCCTGCAAACACCTTGGCCATTGTTCCTGATTCCAGAAGACCATCATCGTGTATAGACATCTATGTCTCTGCCATGGATGAGCTCCACTGTGATATAGACCCACTGGACAATTCCATGAACATCCTAGGGCTGGGAGAGCCAAGCTTTACAGCTCCACTATCTTCCACAGCCCCTTCAAGCAGTGCCTATGCAACTCTTGCACCCACAGACAGACCTCCAAGCCGGAGCATTGATTTTGAGGACATCACCTCCATGGACACTAGATCTTTATCTTCCGACTACACCCACCTGCCAGAATGCCAAAACCCCTGGGACACTGAGCCTCCGATGTACCACAGCATTGAGCGTTCCAAAAGTAGCCGCTACCTAGGCGCCACCCCCTTTCTTCTAGAAGAGGCCCCTATCGTGAAGTCTCACAGCTTTATGTTTTCTCCTTCGAGGAGCTATTACGCCAACTTTGGGGTGCCTGTGAAAACTGCGGAATACACAAGTATTACAGACTGTATCGACACGCGATGCGTCAATGCCCCGCTAGCGATCGCCGACAGAGCCACCTTCCCTGGCGGTCTCGGAGGCAAAGTGGAGGATGCGTCCTGTTGTCACCCTGAGCGAGAAGCAGAACTGAGCCACCCCAGCTCTGACACTGAGGAGAATGAGGCCAAAAGCCGGAGAGCGGCCATGGAGATGGCTTCCCAGGAGGGCGATAACTCAGACAGAGACAGAGCCCTGTCCAACAACATCACGGTTCCCAAGATAGAGCGCGCCAACAGCTACTCCGCAGAGGAGCCAAGCGCGTCCTACGCACACACCAGGAAGAGCTTCTCCATCAGTGACAAACTCGACAGGCAGCGGAACACAGCAAGCCTGCGAAATCCCTTCCAGAGAAGTAAGTCCTCCAAGCCCGAGGCCCGCGGGGACAGCCTATCCATGAGGAGACTGTCCAGAACGTCTGCTTTCCACAGCTTTGAAAGCAAGCACAACTAAACCTTCCTAATAAGCGTTGCAGGAGGCTCCAGAATCCAGCGCTAAAATTCTTCCCCAACTCCACCTGCTCCCCTTCCTTGAAACGTACCTACTTTATTCTTAGCTGAGCAAAACAAGCAGTGTCTGGGGAGGTGTTCACTCAAAGGTAACTTCTGGGCCCCAGATCAAAAAAGCCTTTTGATCTGACCTGGTGCCAAACACAGGGGATCTAAGTCATGTTCACACTTGATGGGTGGGGGGGAAAGAGGGAGAAGAAGGGTAAGAGATGAATGTGTATCACTAGTCGTTTCAGAAAGCCACGAGCTCTGGGAAGGAAGGGGCTTCAAGAACGCAACATGCCAGGAGGCATCTTTCAATTACCGATCATTATCAAGAGTTTTAGGATGCAGGGCTAAGTTGCAAAATAAAATAAATAAATAGCCAGCATACAAATGAGATATTCTAAACTTCAATTCTGTTTTCTTTTCACATTGGCTCCATCACTGGTGACTGATGAAGAGCATCCTTTTTATTCAGTATAAGCCGGCAGCAAGCAGTTCTACCTAACGTCTCACATCCTTCTCATGCCAACACTTCTGTAATTGATCATTATAAAGAAAAAACAAGGTAACAGTCATAGTTCACCTGTCTCCTATTATTCACTTCTGGTGCCACAACTGTTTTCTTTTTTGAAGAAAATAAGGGAAAAGAAATGCCTTTTTGTAATGCAATCAAAATGAAAGAAGAATTGTTAAAAACAATGTCAAGAGGTTTATTATATACAGTGGGCATTCAAGCATAGTCAAGCAAGCTCAGGATGAATGTAATTAAATAATTTTATATTTTTTAATTTATTTTGTATCTCACCTGTCATCAATGAAGCCACTCATTGAATATGAAATGATGAACGGAAAAAATAGTGGGCAGAACTCACCTGAAGTGGCCACATGGGTGATAGGCTCACCGTTCATGTCGTGCCATGCTGCTGTGTGACCTCCATCATTTGCATGATCTCACCATGTCTTCTGAACATCTCCAAGATATAACTGCCAATTTTTCACACCACTCATCACATGACCATTTTGTACATGAGTATCTGGTTACATGTGGATATTTTCATACCTAGAGTTTTGCCATTTAATCTGGACTCACCATAAACTTAATTGGAGTTTTTCAAGGGCTGGTTATCTTTTTTATGGAAATGTTCCAAAACACTTTATAAGGAAGTTTCAAAACCATAAATAACCTTAGAATTAACTGGGAGTTTGGTATCAACCCAAAGTCATCAGTTGCAGGCATACAGTGAATATTTTTCTTATATACAGAGCTATAAAAAATATACACTAGATTAAAATGGAAAGCAAATAAGCTGTATAGAGTTTTAGTATATGCTGCTTATATACATATATATGCATTTACACAGAGACATGTTTATATATAGTATATAAACAGACATATAGAGCTTTCTTAAGAAGCTTGGACTTTTCTATAATCTTGAGGTGTAACAAAGGTTTTGGTGTTTTTTGGTTTTTGGGTTTTTTTTTTAGCATCCAAGGAGTTCCATAGAAAGAGTTCATTATATTATTTGACAGATGTTGAAATTATGATTTCTTTTATATCCCTATGATTTGGGATTAACTTCCCCCTTGTATCAAACTAGAGTTGCCAAAATAGCCACCTACTCTCTGTCCCTTTTTTTAATCCCAAAAGTATTTGCTCTCATGGCAGCTCACTTAGTCTGATTTCTCCTGCACAAAATGATTATAAAAAGTACAATTCTGATAGACATGCAGTTCTAGGCAGAGAGGGCGATAGACTCTAAAATAAAGGCATATGCTTCTAGGTCAGAATCAGGATTTGAAGACTCTAGGTAAAGAAACCTTGACCCCAAATCTTCACATTCCTATTTGGATCACTGCAGTTAAAAACAAAATCTTTAAGGAGAAAGACTTCATGTTCCAATCCAAAATATGATTTTTTTGTTGTTAAGTTGTAACTGTGAACTCCAGATTTTCTCATGTGAAATCAGATAAATTGTACATAATATCACTAGCCTTTTTGCAAGGTTTTCAGATATAGAAATAATGGTCACATAGAAGTTAAAGAATTCCTTTTTCACTCCTTGGTATTTAGGTTAATCTGAAACAACTAATTCCTCATATGTCATCATTGCTCTAGCAACACATTTTTATTGGACCCCCTCATTTCCTTCTCAACAAACATACACTTGGTCTAAGAATTAATCAGCTGCCCTTAAACTTCCTTGAGTCATCAAATTTCTATGAAGATCTGAAGAAAGTTCTGGGAACTCTCCCCAGGAAAAAAGGATATTCATGGCAAGTTGCAATATAACCTTAAGGGGATTATGTACCCCTGGTTCCATAATGATTGAGAGTGAGGAAGAACCATATTTGTTCCCAATCAGTACAGCTGTAATAGGCACTTTACATTTTGAGACCATTTCTCTGTGATTCTCAGGAAGGCCATGTGTCAGAACCAGAGTCTGAACCAAGATTTGGTCATTTTCGTTCTTTAGCTTTTGCTTAGATTTTGCTTGTCTGATATGCTTACACGTTAATGCTTTGATGGTTTTAAGTATGAGCACACCCACAAAGCTGGAAGGTTCTCAGGGAGTCTGCAGAGGAGTCCAAAAAGGAGGTGAAACCATAATTCTTTGACTACAGGAAAGGACATCACAGCACCTCCAGGGCCTCATTCAAAACCAGACTGAATGTGGGGAAAGAAATTAGGAGCATGAATGTTGCCATTTGTCATAATTTCTGCAGACAAGCACTCAGGACCTGGGGTAGAAAGTACTTAATAGTCCTGACCTTGTCACTATCTGGTTCTTCTGTTGTACATGAAAGTGAAGTTCTAACATCTTTTGCGGAGCGCGTGAAATACGTAAGACAAATGTAAATGACGTCAAACATGAGCCGTGTAAGTCCCATGAGCCATCTCCTTCCTGTGCACATACATGTGTGTCCATTTCTCTCCATTTCTGGGCTCTCTGCACACCAGTGTGGCATTGATTGTGTGGCCTTGTCCAGTCAGCTTGTGTTCAGCTCATTTATTCCACCGCATCCCTGATAGAGGGGACGTTAACTACCTGTCTCTGTGAATTAAGCAGCTCATGAGCAGCAAGTTATTGAGGAACATAAATAAAGTCATAGAGAGCCAAGGAAGTAATAGCTTTGTTTTAATCATCTGCTTCTACGGTGCCAATTTTTATATACTACTGTATGTAATGATTTGTTCTAAATTGCTGGTCCTTTGGGTGGGGTGGGGGTGGGGGAGAATGAAGGCCGTTTTATGATAATAACCAAGAAAATTTCCTGATTAACCAACATACTTTATAATTGGAAACTCCTCCTTGATGGATTTGAATGAGAAGCCGGACAGCTCGGGTACAACTGTCATGCTAGTTTGTGTATTCATGGTCAGAAGCAGCACTTTATAGAACTGGATTTTTTTTTTAAATCTAAGCTTCTAGATCTAGGGTATTATTTAGCACTTTGAAAGCCCCTCCTTTAAATATATATGTAATAATAACCAAACGGAGAAAATGTTCTTGTGAAGACACAAAATGTGTTTCTTCTGAATGTTTCAAATGTATTCTAAAAGATGGTTTCTATAGATAATATTATGGTAGATAACTGGATAGTACATATACTCTACTTTCTAAGACTGTACAGTCTAATCCTCCTGAATGTTGGGGCTGTTTAACTTCTTTAATAATAATGAATATTATCCAGTCATCCATCATGTTATATCTATAGTCTATACCATTCAATTTGTTGGCAATGCTGTATTATAAAACACATGTGAACATATATGTAGCCTGTATTTAACCCAGCATAGTTGTAGCATGTGGTTGTATTAATGAACGTTACAGGACAGCTTTATAATCATTAACAAATCTGTAACATTCAATAAAGAAGCACATGTTGCAAGGATTAATTATGTTCCTAATTTCATGTTATTTAGTAGTCCTGTGAAATGGGCATTTTGTTCCTGACCTGCTTTATGTTTTCCACATTCCTACAGCCCACTGTAAAATATGTGTATAAGCTGATCGACATCCTCTAGCCAGCCCTGAGAGCTGTGGTAGGCAAGTTGTGACTTTGTGAGAGACAAACTGGCATGTTATGCAAAAAAGACTCATGACAAATGAATTTAAAATAACATTTTAAACTCCAGTTGAATTAGCTGTTTGTTTACATCTGCTGACCCCAGGCAGAATCAGTGTACAGTATTTTATAAATATGTTCATTTAGCAATGTTAATATGATTGTTTCTAGTTAAAATGCTAGTGTGTAGGTGGTTATAGAGTCATCGTAGATACTGCATTATAACTCACTATTCTTTAACGATAGCAATGTGACTTAAATGAAGTAATCCCTCTCCAAATCCAATCTTAATTTTGTGGCAACAAAATGCATGTATGGCGTTATGCGTTTCTTTTGACTTTTTAAAGGCACTTAACATTTAACTCTTGCCTGCTGTGACACTTAAACCAGTTAGGAAATCATTCAAATTGTTGGGCTTCTCACACTGTTTGAGGATTATGTTCAATTTAAAAAAATTAAAAACATAAAAGTAACCGAAGGGTTTTTTTAATCCTTTTTTAAAGCTCTGAGTAATATGAAATAAAGTATTAACCGTAGGGTGTAGAGCTGTGGGACTCAGAGATGGCTAGCCAAATCACTCAGGCTACCAAGGTGTAGGTAGGTGTTGGTGCATCTGTGATATGGTAAAGACACATTTCTGATTCTCTAGGGTCACTGGGAGCAGAACCAGAGGGGACAGAAGTCCTTTGGTGTCAGTAAAGCAATCCCAGATCATAAAGAACCAGTGGGGCAATGATAGAACACATGACTTCTGCTGACCCTGTGACTTTCCTCAACTTGTGGGCGAACCTGGCCAGGGGAAGGGCAAAAGATGGGAGTGTGGATGGCTGTTGAGTACTGGGTGAACCTCAAGTGTTTGCTTTTAAAAGAAACCACCATTTCATTAGTGGAAGCCATTCAGCATCGGGAAAAGTGGGGATCCAATTTGCACAGCTTATAAGTGACTGATCTTCCAACAGTAGATATGACTTTCCTCTCAGCCTACATTGCCTTAAGCTTTCTCCTCATTTTCCAAATCAGATATTCTCAGATTGACATCCACCAGGAAGAACTGGCTCCAGCTTAAGGAAAGCAGAATTTTTTCCTTTTTTTTTTTCAATTCATTTGAGAAAGTAGTTGTGTTGCCTTTTCTCTGATGAATCCCTAGCAGTGGCTACTGTTTATGAACAATATGCCAATGTCTACATGTCATGTAGGGGAGGACTTCGGTGACCCGACTCAGATGACAATAGAGTGAGGTGAATTTTCCTCCCCTAATTTACCTAACCTACAAGGCCCCCTTAATCCTCCCAGTCATTGCCCATTTACACAGGGTTTGTGTGCTGAAAAGTAAAGGAGACACACATCACCAAAAGTCCATGGGCCTTCTGAAGAGCAGCAATGCCAACCTGGACGCTCATCTCCAAATTGGCAGGCAGTCTACTCGGCCCCTGGGACCATAGTTTCAAGGGCAGCCTCCTGCCTGGACATACATATTTCTACTCTCTGTCCCACACAAGCTGCTTTTTTTTTTTTTTTGCCAGAATAAGACTCTGCACCCCATTATCTCAGTACTCCATCAACCTTAGCACAGTAAGTTCAAACAGTAGCTTCTTGGCAAAAGGGAAACCATCAGACCATGCCCCTGCCCTGGTTTTCCTAACTTAGCCTCCTCTGCACCCTCAGCTCTACTCCATGTTTCTAAACTGGATGGTGCTTCATCAGCCTCATCCAATTTTGTCTGTCTGAATGCAAGAGTCCCTCACACCTTCACCCCAGCATCCTACATATCATCACAACCAGTCATCTGCATCTAAATTATAGGGTAGCAAGCTCAAGTATGTAAAATATAGAGGGGCTGGATCCAGAACACAAATGTGTGAAAATGAACTGGTAAAAACAACAGGGAGCAGGGTGTAGAGTGTCTGACAGAACGCGTGTCCCACTACAAAGACATCCACATTCAGATTTGCAAACACTGTGCTAGCCAAACAAGTGTGTCTGCCAGGAGCTTTCAGTCCCAAGGCAATGGTTTGGGACCTCTGATTTTGAGCCAACTGGGATCATATTCTTGACTCTGAGATAGTATATACAAAATATACTGAGCAGATGGGGGTGGGGGGGATCCTCTGCAGGTCTATTCCTATTCTTCTGAATGATGTATACATGTAGATTTGCTGATCCCATCATTCTGGGTCCAAAGGCAGGAACTTTGTGAGGAAGATTCAGAAAAGTACCATAGCATTGTATCAAGGCTGTCTGCTTCCTGTCACTACACTATCTGACCCAAGTTTCTATTGCTGCTGCTACTGTGCAAAACAGTACATGCAGTATATGATCTTCATAGCCATTTCATAATCTAGAACTTAGATTTTCATTTGTAAACATGCTAATAATAGTTTATAATGGGGAAAATTACTCAGATATCATTTTTAACTGAAATCCTATAAATACAACACTTTTGAAGATGGATTTGTTAAATATATATACATATACACCTTTTCTTTGTGTATGGATAGGTAGCGGTTTGCATATCTATTGACATTATAAATATATATAAATCTTTAGAGGAATTGTTCTTTTTTAAAGGTCTATTATTGGATTCACAATGCACTTTGAGCTTGTTTGTTTAGATATATAATTCAAAGCAGAAGTTGGCAGATACCACGGGAAAAACTCTGAAATTTCTGTAACAAATGTTTTGCAATAAAAAAAAAAAAACCTCAGTAGTTCAAAACATGACTTAGACTTCCTTGTGCATTTATTTGTCGCCATTTGATCTCCATTATCCTCATGGCAAGAATTTTTGGGTTACAGAGAGGAAATTGCCTAGGGTTCCATGAATTACTCGCAGAGCAGAGGTTGCAAACTGATGGCCTATGGGTCATATCTCGCCAACAGACAAAGAGGATTGTTGGCCAGCACAGTGTTTCTTAATATTTTTGAAACATTTAGAAATGGGTCAATTTCACATCTAATTCTAGACTTCTGGCTTCTCTTGTTAAAACTGAAGATCTACTAATATGAAACCTATATTTAATCATGAAAATAATCTGATTCAAGGTACCATGGTTGCCCCTTTTGAAGGAAAGTGTGCTCTTCAACATACCACAGTCCCCACAATTCCCTTCTCTCTCTTACATATGAACTCCTTTACTTATTAACATTACCTGGAACACCCCTATAGGTATGAGGGCGTCTATATTAAAGAATGTAAAAAATCAATAGCAGCTCTCGTTTGTCTAAGTAGTAAACATATGAGTAGCAATTTGATGACAACGACATGTCTTCATACTAAATGTACAGTAGCATGCTTTCATGACCCATTTTAAAGCACATTATTCAGAACTTAAATGATTTGACTTTGACTTTGAGAGAGCTGAAGGATAGAAAGGGGCTCAGTCTCATTCTCACAGTAGCGCCAATAAAAAAAAAAGCAATAACATAGCAATGACATGCCACTACACATACTTTAATTTTACAAAGTAGGAAGATAAATAACAGAACATGGTCTATAGATTACCTTTACACAAAGGATTTGTTGAGGATCTACTATGTGTCCAGATGTGTGCCAATGTGAATAAAGCAGCCATGTCCCTGCCCCCATGGAGTTTCCATCTAACTATAATAAAATACAATCATATATAGTCCTGTGACTACCATTCTGTAGTCTGAGGAATAAAGTATGAAACATGAATAGGACTCTAGAGGTTCACAGGAGTGACAACACTCTGCAACTCATGGCAAGTTAGTCTCTGTGAAGGGCACTTTACTAAAACGTGCCCTGAAGAACAGGGAAGGTTTAATCAGACACCCCATTGAGGGGGACATTCATTTGATAAATGATCAAATGTTACAAAGCTTCATTCTGGTGACAACATCCAGGCAGTCCCAGTCTCCTGGGCTGCATCTCCAGCCTGGAGACTTCAGTTTGGAGAAAGAGGCGTTGAATTAACTAGTACCATTATCCCTCTCATTGCTTTAGTCTAGTCAATAATTTTTAAGTGGCCGGCATAGCTAGTTTTCTGCAAGCAACCTGTCTACATTCATAATGAGCACCTTATGTAACCACACAGTGCTCAAGCATGTGCCCTCTGATTTCCTGGGAAATCAGGTCAATCATAATTTGCTGCCAAAATCTCAGATTTCAACCCAGCATAAGGCTCTTTACTGGAGATCTTGATA